GATATAGTAAATAATTTGAGGGTTTGGAAGCATCAAATTCATCCCCCATATATTTGGTATTAGACTCTGCATATCGATTACAACATTGACTTACCCCACCACGAATACCTGTACCCATTGTATGGTATCAAGCTTACATTTTGTGATTTTTAACATACAATCCCAAGAATATCCAGGCAACGTGTAATAATGAGCAGGATCGAGCTGATATGTTTTAAGGCAGCTTTCGCGAAATTGTTCAAAAACATCAGCTAATAGTAAAATATCAGTTTTTATATATAAATCGGAATACTCCCCTAAATCTTTAATATTAAAAGCATTCCACACCTTAAGAGTATGGGAATAATCATCATCACTAATATTAGAATCATTTAATTTATTGTAAAAGTTTTCTTTAGGTGGTAATTTAGTATATTTTAATTTTTGTTCGGAATCAATAAAGTCATATGAAAATACCCCTTTACGTTCTAATAATTTTATTTTTTCAACCCCCAAATCTGCAAATTTTTTTCGTAGAATTGGATATTTAGTTAAATATGATGATAACTTATCTAAACTTGAAGCCATAAACCGAAATGAATCAATAAACCTAAATTGAATATTTGTATCTTTATCAAACAATGTAAAAGAAATGTATTTCTCTTTATTTATTGGTAATAATTTAATTTTACCATATTTTGCAATATCTTTAATAACAAAATGGCAGTCGTATCCGGAAAAATTATGAAATACTATCGGTATGACAAAATCTTTCCTATAATTTAAATTACAGATTTGATGTGCAAACCCGCGGAAATTTCCGCTGAAGTGACAATGGTCTCGGACTATTATATCACCCTGTAAAAAAATCCTATTGCAAATATGACATGATGATGTATGATCTATTAAATTTACATTTGTATTTAAAGGTATTATGTTGAGCATTTTGGAGTGTATTAATTTAGATATGTCATTTATTTCTCCTGCGAACCATTGCATGCAATCTAAACCACGAAAGCTTTTAAAATATGATAAGTTATCATTATACGTGCATTTTAAATAATATCCAACACTAAAAGCCTTGTGTTCTTGATATTTAAAGGACTTTGTGAAATTATTATTATTGTTAATAGGTAAAAGAATAGATTCAATATCAGCGTAAATAACAAACGGTGCTGGTTCTTTGTTTTTAAAATTTTTAAAATTAATTGTTAGTTCTTTGGGAAAAGATATTTTACAATTATTAAATTTTTGACAATATTCTTCATGTTCAGATAACTTAATTTGATTGGAAAAATAATTTAAACAACGATCGCAAATAAATATTTTACCTTTATGTTTTGTATGCTGACTTCTAATTAGTTTGGATAAATTTTTTATCCACACATAATGATATTTAATAATAATAATAATAATAATAATAATAATAATAATATTTATTGGTCTAAAGATCATACAATGATATGAGACAAGTCAATTCACAAACTATTATATTATTCAAGTATATATAAATTAAATACCTACAACAACAAAAAAAACTATGGTAAATCAAAACAAATTACAATAGCACTTCATTTAAAAATTCTTCGACAGAATAAAACGCTTTTTCAAGAAAAATCAATTTTAAGTTATGTTTGAAAGAATTTAAAGTTTGAGTTTTAAGAGAAGTATCTAGCTTATTGTATAATAATGCACCTAAGTAAAATGGATTCGACTTAAACAGCTCAAGCCGGTGTATACTTAATTCTAAATTAGAACCATGTCTTGTGTTATATGTATGATGTTCATTAAGACTAGAAAATTTTGAAAGGTTTTTTTTTAACATATATAAGTGTCTCTAAAATAAACAAACATGGAAGAGTTAGTATTTTTTTTGAAATAAAGAAAGGCTTACATGACTCCTGAAAATCTAATCCATATATAAATCTAACGGCTCTTTTTTGCAGAATAAAAACACGGTGGACAGAGGTTGAATAGCCCCAGCATATTATTCCATACCTAAGTCTTGACTCAATGTTTGAGTGATAAAAAGCTCTTATGGCTGATGTATTTGCAATATGAGAAAGTCGCTTTAAGGCAAATAAATTAGGTGCCAAGGAATTACAAAGATGTTGAGTGTGACAGCCCCAATTTAAACTAATATCAATATACAGTCCCAATAACTTAAACTCCGTTACCTGATGGATTGTATTTTTAACTTTTATGTACGGACTTTCTTTATAGTTTGAGGAAATTGGATAAAATTGCATGGTATTTGTTTTTTCTACATTCATAACCAATTTATTGTTTAAAAAGTAATTTGACAAGTTTGCAAGTGTTTCATTTACTTTTGATGCTAATTCAAACTGATGTTTACTTGATGAGACCGTTGTTATATCATCAGCAAATGCACAAAAAAATGAACCGATATGGTCATCTATGTCATTAACGTAGATAAGAAACAACAACGGCCCCAAAACACTACCCTGAGGAACTCCGATGTTATTTTTTAGTTCCAGAGAACGGGTGTTACAGTATTCAACGTAATGTCTTCTATCATATAAAAAGCTTTTTATCAGATTATTACATTTACCGCGCAGACCATATGACTCAAGTTTACTTAATAAAATCCCATGATCTACACAGTCAAATGCTTTTGACAAATCTACAAATAAGGCCATTACCTTTTCATTCTTGTCTAGATGTTCATATACAAATTTTAAAAATGTTACCAAGGCATAGACTGTCGATGTCTTTGCCCTAAAACCGTACTGATGTGCCGATAGTAAATTATTATTTTCTAAAAAAGTTATAATTCGTGTAAAAATAATCTTTTCAATAATTTTGGAGAAAATTGAAATTAACGATATGGGTCGATAGTTCAATATTCTTTTTATCGCCTTTTTTGTGTAAACATATAATCTTTGATGTTTTTAAACTGTCAGGAAACTCACCGTTGTTAAAACAAGTATTTACTATATTACAAATTGGATAAGAAATTATGCAGCTTACTTTTTTTATAAGATTTGTAGAAAAACCGTCAGGTCCAGCAGCATTACTATTTTTTAAATTATTAATAATATTAAAAATTTCATTTTCAGTAGCCGGCCAAAGGTTTATAGAGTTATTTATTTTGCTATTTACATTAAGAGTGCAATTATTTAAATTGTTTACAAGTTTTTTTGGAACATCGTTAAAATATTTGTTAAACGCATTTGCAATATTTACATTTTTTTCTTCTTCATAACCGTTTATAAACATACTATGTGATTCAGTTGAAACGTTCTTCTTTAAGTTTGTGTTTATAATTTTCCAAACAGTTTTACTTTTATTTTTAGAGTTCTCTATAAGTCTACTATAGTATAGTTTTTTTGATAGTCTTAATAATTTAGAATAAATTCTTTTATAAGTCTTATAATAATTCTCATCAACACGTCTAAACATTTGTTTTAACCGTAATGACGAAACTTTTAGACCGCGAGTAAACCATGGTGCGTTCATTCTGGTAGGATTGTGTTTGGTTACCTTTGGAAAACTTAGTTCAAAATAGTAAGTAATAATATTAAGAAATACTTCAAACTTGTTGTTAACAGTGAACTCTTTTAATACATCTGTCCAATATTCAGAGAAAAGAAAACCATAAAATTTTTCAATGTTAGCATTACTAAAGAAACGTGATTTTAATTTAGTTTTATTGATTTTGTTAAGAAAATTGAATTGAATTTTTTGTGCTGTATGATCAGACAGGTTTAGATCTAAAATTTCAGTGTTTGTTAATTCATCATTAAAATTGGTAAATATATAGTCAATGGCGGTATTTGAATTTCTTGCTAATCTTGTAGCTTCATTAAAAACAGATAATAGATTATACGATTTTGTCAAATCCAGTAATTTATTGGATTCAGCGGATATAACCAATTTGTTTATGTTTAAGTCCCCGCATATTACAAGTTTATGTATATTTTCACTGACTAAAACATCTAAACACATCTCAAATCTCTCAAAAAATTGTTTCATATTATAATTTGGTGCCCTATAAATACAAGCGAAAACATAGTTGATTTTGTTCAATGAAATTTTAATCGCTGCACATTCAAAATCTTTTTCGACACATAATTTGGAAAGATCGATAACAGAGTATGGTATATTATTCTTTGCTATTATAGCAACACCACCATGAATATAATTTGACCTGCAAAAACTACTAACAATATTATAGCCTTCAAAATTTATGAACTGTATTTCATTTTGCTTAATCCAAGTTTCACTAATACACATTACATCAATATTTTCTTTCAAAAGAAATATCTCTATTTCTTCTATTTTATTTCTTAGGCACTGTACATTTAGGTGGATCATTGTAAAATTGAAGGGCTCGCCTTCACTTATTTGCTATAAATTATAGTTAATTTTAGATTTTAATGTATTTACAAGGCTTAAGTATGAGGGACAATTATTATCGTTTGCACAGTGATTTGAGTTGCGATTTGTTTTAAACTTTTCGTTAAAATGTATACAGTTTACACATTTTTTTATACTTTCATTGCAATTTGATGAATTATGATTACCAGCACATTTACTACAAGAAAATTTATCTTTTTCCAAATTACAATCCTTTGCGATATGACCAAACAAATTACATTTAAAGCATCTAACAATATTGAAGCTTTCAGACAAAAAACATTTTCTAAATCCTACAAACACGTACCCAATTGACATTAGGCGTGTGAATGTTTTAGAATCAAGTTCAATTATAATATGCATTACTTTAGAATTATTAGGTTTAATTAATTTAACGACACGAAAATGTAGATTATCACTTTGTAAACGATTCTGTTCAATAATATTACTAACTAATTGTTCATTTGTTAAATCATTTAGTTCTACATTAAAAATCTTGATCCTTGGTTGTAGTTTTTCGGGTACTTTAACGGAAAAGTTGTTACCAATTTTGTCTTCAATTTGCACTTTTACAGCTTCTAATTTATCTTTGTTTTCCAATCTAAGTATCATTTTCCCATCCTTTGATTTTTTAATATCTACTATTTCTGGACCAAGTTGAACTGGATTAATTGTCTGACAGTTTCAATTCCGGTATTAGTATTTCTGCTTTCAATGACAAGTACAGCTGAATCTTTTTTTGCAATGTCGGCAAAAGTTGCTTTACGCGACATCTGTTGCTTGGTAGTTAAGATTTGATTATTGCTTAAATTATTTGAATTATTTTCTACTTGACAAATATTTCTATATTGTTCATCGCAATCCTTTAACCTTAATTTTAATAATAAATTACTTGTTTCCATTTCATTGTGTAATTTCTTCATTAAATCTAACTCACGGTTTAAATACTCCAACTTTGATGATTCAACACTGCCCATTCCGGCTTTTACACTTTTTGATTCACACGATTTGCATAACCAATCATTTTTATTGAGTTTTACATACTTTGAAAAGGCTTCAAAACATTTTTTGTGAACAGTTATCTGGCAGTTAGTACACTTAACACTTGACTTGTAGTTTGCCCCACATAAGTCACACTTATTTCCACTTTTTTGGCTTTTAATCGACTCATTATCTGAATCATCACCACCTTCCACCATTTTGCTTTTATAATATCACAATCCTCCTCATTATTTGACTCTTGATTAGAGTCCAGCTCCTGGGGATAATATTTATTTTGAATTAATAATAAATTTACATGTCTATCTAGCTTGTTTTTAGTTACTCTAGTTAGTAATGTTTTAAAAAAAGAACTATTTTTTGTTTTAATCAACTCCAACGTATAAATATTTATTGATATTGAATTTAATTTTTCAAATTTTGAAATGTCTTTAATTAAAATTGGAAAGTTAATATTTGTAAAATTTAATACGTTGCTATAATGAGAATACGAGGAAATCCTATCCGGATGTTTCTTTGAATGTACAGGGTGTAATGCTGATACGACGGCCCAAGCGAAGCAAGCATCGTCGTAATAATTTTTAACATTAACACAGGCATGTTTTTTTGCAATTTCTTCAGGTAGTCTAATGAAGGATGATCCGTTACCCATTTCAACTTTATTAATGTTAATTTCTAAACTTACAACTTTTTTTAATGCCCACCCACTATCTTTTTCTGCAAATTCCTCAATTTTATTCAAAATTTTATCAATTATATTATTATTAAACCAACTTCTTAAATTTGTGTCTAAATTTACAAATTAATTTTTTGTATTAAAATACTTTACATCTACAGTTTCTTCATTATATTGATTTTGTTTTAAAAATTCTCCCCCAAAACATCCATTAACTTTAAGTAATGACATAGATTTTAAAATATTTTTTATCCTAGATTTAAATAAAAAAAAATGCATCATTTAAAAATGTAAGGGGGTCTATATGTTAAATGTTAATTATAATGCCTGTTCGAACTCGAGATTTGAATGCCGTTGTCAAATCTTCCCATCTTAGTCTATCACTACGTTTAGTTTTTAATGCACCTCCGACATGTTTTAAATCATTTGAATTTAAATTGTTTAATTCAAGTCGATACCGTTTTAATTGACCAATACAGGTTATTATCTTTCTTTGGCTACCTATTGATAAATTATATTTTTTAGCTAAATTCAAACATAGCCTTATATTTTTTTTAATAAAATTTAACCAAACTTTGATACCTATCATTTTGGGTGGATTTTTTGGTTAAAATAATAAAGGCATTTTTAATTAAATTCAACGATTCCGTACATACCCTGGACACTTCAGATTCGGACATTTTTCTTAAATTTCTCGTATTTCAACTTGGGGTTTAGCCTTGTATTTGGAGTTGACGTCGAAATCCTTTAAACCTAAGAACATCAAACCAAATTTCCCACTATTCAGGTCCTCCAAATTCTTTCCAACCACTTCGGTCAATCGTTTTGGTAGGAAGACTTTACACTCCCCCAATTCAACCAAAGGTAAATCGCCAAATTTACCTTTAACAATCTTAATGGATGTTATGGGGTAAAGCTCCCCCTCTACCAACTCTTGAAGTTTTCGGACTTCTTTTTCAAGCACCGCTGCTACGGCGTTAACTTCTTTTAAAAAAGCCATACTATAAACATTAATATTTACTTATAAAATAAAAAATTAAAATTAAAAAATAATTTACTTGAAATTGTATACACACAGGTAAACCATAAAAATATTTGCACAAGATGTTGTAGAACTTGTAGTGAATATGTTTTTGCAAACTTGCACTCCTTTTTATAGACAGTTTTCAAACCAAATGTTTACGTTGCACTAGTTCAAATATAAAAGTGTGGGATAGTAATTATGATATTTTTGCAAACTTGCACTCTTCTTATGGATAGTTTTTCAAACCAAATGTTTACGTTGCAGTAATTAATATTTTATTCGTGTGCAAAATTTACATTTATCAAAACGTAATAAGATAAAAACCCACATAGTTGGAGTCAAATAATACATGTGAATGCAAAAATTACATTTATGTTTTAATCACATAAAATAAAATATTTATAAAGTATATATTTTTTATTTTCACTTCTTTTTGTTACTTTTATTAAATAACATTATGTTTTTTATTACAATCTATATTTATAAAAAAAACTTCTTTTTTGAACATAAAAATATGAAAAATAGAATTAATTTAATTTATTTTTTACTTTATCTACCAACCTTATTACTAATAAAATTAACACTTTTTATGGGCGGAGCCTCAAGTCATGTAACCCAAAGGGTTCTTACAAAAAATTTTTGGATAAGGGTAAAATAGTAAAAAGTATATTATTTTTTTTAATTTTTTTTATTCCAAATTAATATTTTAGATTACATTATATTTAAGCACAACATTTCTCTTTTTTAAAGAACTGCTTGCGGAAAACCTAAGTGGGTCCTCGAAGACGTTCTTCCAATAATCCTCAGATATGCGCATGGCATCAAAAGTTTTAAATAATTCATACATTTCAATGTCCCCTTTTAATTTTTGCAAATCTTCATAAAATTTTATTTTTCTTTTTGATAAAGATTCTTTACAAGCCATGATTATGTGGTAGATATCTTTGAAGCCAATTATGTAAAATGTGTGCGTTTGTTGCGCTACACTGCCCTACACTTTTGAAATGATTCATACATATTGGTTTTTTGTTTTTTAACACTGGAAAATCCCACAGGTTTAAGGTTTCAATGTTCACAATTTTTAAATTTGGTAATAACTGCTCACACACTGTTTTTAAATATTCATAATTTTGATTACTGTTCGTGTAAATAGTATCGTATTCAGTCAATAATTCCATTAAAATATTATTGATTTCATTGAAATTTACATGTCCACTGGAATATCGTAGTCCATGAATGTTTTTTTCTTCAAGGTAAACTTGTTTTCTATTTATTTTTGATAACTGCTTAAATTCCACCATTGGTTTTAAGAGATAATGATTTGTTTGCACTCCATTAGTAATTGCAATTTCTTTTGGATGAAAAAGCCATTTTTCAGCTTCTTTTTAGAATAAATTAAACCCTTGAATATTTATGGACACAACTTTCATATTGTAGGGACCAATTAAAACTAAAATGTTTATTAAAAAAATTATGATAAATTGCGAACTATTTCACTGAGTGGGAGGTGCTCTATAATGACATCATGTATAATCATACAATATGCTTTTGTGTTATCGGGAAAACCTTTTTTCGCTTCAATATCAATTTTTATATCAACTGTACTTGATTTTAAGGATTCATTTCTTCTAGAACAATCAATTACAAAAAGGGCATGATTCTTAAATTGCGTATAATTAAGTAAAGGGCGTTTTGATATTGTAAAATCATTTTTAAAACTTGAATAAAATTGTGTATAATTATGGTGAGCCTCAATAAAATTATTTTTTTCAAAATCGAGATTAATTCGCTCTAGGGGGTAATACTCCCCATTTATAATAACACGTATATCTAATATGTCAATGTTATCAAAATATGATGGATCTTTTGTAACATTACTTCTTCTATTAGTATGAAAAGCTAAAATTATAAAGCGCGGACTTTCTAATGCGGTACACGTTTTAACCGGCCATATTTCCTTAGTAGCATCTTTTGTTAATTGTGGAAGTTCGTAAGATTCCCATTTTCAAAATGGAATTACTATGGGTCTGTCAGATTTTATTGATTCCAATAATTGAAGTTTTAATAAATCATTGGGAGTAAAAACTTGCACTTTTAATGATATATTTTGAATAGTTATTTTGGCCTTTGTGGTACCGACAGCAGCCCCACTTTTTTCTTTTATAAGCATGCAATCATCATCATTTCGAGCTCTTACAAGCCTTATAGTTTGTTTACCAAATTGAGCTAGCTGATAATCAGTAAATATACCAAATAAATGATGTAAAGGTATATTAAAAGTCGAATCTGTCGCTGTTATTGAATTTAATATGGGTGCAGAGGGGTAGTTCCACCCTGCGATATCTAAATGTTTTGAATCATCACTGCTGTAATTAAGATAACCCTTAATTGTGCTTACAATACCTGGATCGCGTATACGGTATACCATCAACTTCTTTTCCATTTAATTCATAAGAAATTCGATCAAACAAAAATGCCCCCATATTGTTTACGACTGATACATCCCCATTACCAAATGTTGTCTCTATTTTACCTTCAATTAGCAAACCAGCATCATGCATAAGCAACCATGAATCTCTTTGATTTATTGAAATTTTTATAACATCATTATTATTAAAAGACATACGGGTAATACGTTCGGGAATTAACTTTTTCAATAGTTTCATCAAACTGTGGTTTTCGATAAATATCGAAGATTTGGTCTAAAGATGACATTGTATCCTAGTGATTGTAGAAAGAGTTGATTTGAATGTGTTAGATAGTTTGAACTAGGCAAACGTTTGCAGTCAACTGATTTTAAATTTTTTGTGTCAGTATTTTTATAATAATTGTTGAATGTTAAACCCATTAGGATATATTTTTTTTAATTCCAAACGAATAATAACTTCTTCTCCCCAAAAATTAACTGGCTTAAAATCTTGGTTTAAAATTACTAAAGTTATATTAAATATTTCTTGTTTATTTATTATTGGTAAATATATAAGATTCCTGGGAATTTCGTTAAATGTATAGCCTGGATCAACGTCTACGGAAAATTCGTAAATAGTGTGTGTTGGTAGATGATTATAATAAGCACCTGTAGTTATATTACAATCAATATGAATGGTTCGAACCTTTATTATATTAACGGAAAGATCTGATTCGTGTTTTTTACCTGGTCCTGGTTTTAAAGTACGCTTTGAAAATCCTAATATTTTTCCTATACCATCTGTTTGCAAAAAATCTATTTCGTATTTTTCGCTTTGAATTTCAAACTTTAATGTATTATTGTTTGGTTTAAGTGAAAAATATTTATAATAATCTTCCTTTTTAACACTTTTAGGAATAATTTGTTGCCTAAGATAAGTTTCTATATCTAATATTTCATAAGTACCAGTTGGTATTGTTATTTTCTTAGTAGCCCCAGCTGCTTCTCTATAATAAAAATTATTTTCACCTTCCTCAATATTGGGAATACTGTTATAAGAATAAAATCCTATTAAAGCTATACCGTACTCAAA